ACTACTACTACTACTACTACTACTACTACTACTACTACTACTACTACTACTACTACTACTACTACTACTACTACTACTACTACTACTACTACTACTACTACTACTACTACTACTACTACTACTACTACTACTACTACTACTATTGCGACTGCTACTACGACTACTACGACGACGACGGCTACTATTATTACGACTACGAGTACTGACGCTACTTCTACTGATGCTATTACTGCGCCGTCGGGGCGAAGATTCCGGGGGGATATTCCGGGGGGATAGTTTATTCCGGGGGGATATTCCAATGTGGGCCCTTCTACACGCGAGAGGATTTGTGAGCGTCTCCCCACGAGGACTGTAATAGGGATCGTTGGCTATGGCTGGAATCGTGACTGTAGTCGCGAATGCAGTGGTAACCGTCGTCGTGGTTGTAATCATGATTGCAGTCGTAATCTGAACCGTAATCGTAAGCGTCGTCGTCCTCGTGGCGGGCCGTCGGCCCATCCCGCCACCGTGCCTGGGTTGTGGGTTTGAGGCCTCTTGTATATGTGTTGGGGTGTCATGGGGAGCCTCTTGAGGGCCTCTTGGGGCCTCGTGGGTTATCTTTTATAAGCTTCTTGGAGGCCTCTTGGGCGCGTCTTGGGCCCTCTTGCAGGAGATCGAAGCTTCGGGGGCGCGAGTGTGGCGCAATTTACAGGGGATCGTGGCCTCGGGGGCGCGGACGTGGCGTAATCGACGCGAGGTCGTGGCCTCGGGGGCGCGGATGTGCCGCCTCGGAGGTGCGATTGTGGTGTAATCCATTGAAGATCGTGGCCTCGGGAGTGCGAATCTGTTTATTTTACGCGGGATCGTGGCCTCGGAGACGCGAGTGCGGCTTATTTTTCGAAGGATCGTGGCCTCGGGGGTACAGCGTAATTTGCGGAGGTCATTGCGCCGGGAGCGCGAATCTCATGTATTTTTACGTCTATCACGCCCCCCAAAAGATTCAGAGCATGCGATTCGGGCGCGATAATCAGGGTGGCTTCGGGCCGCCACCCCCTCGCGCGGACAGCGAAAGTTTACAGTAGGAAGCAGAAAGCAGCACTGCAACATTGGAAACCTGAAACCGGAATTGGCGCAGGGAGCAGGACCCTTCCGCCACGCAGCCTGATAGCCCCACAAGGGGGCCGGCGGATAGCCTCGGGGACGCGAATCTTGCATAATGTATTAAGGTTTGTGGCCTCGGTGGCGCAACTATGGTATAATTTTCATTGGTGTGTGGCTTCGGGAACGCGAATATTGTGTAATTTACCAGGGCGTATGGCTTCGAGGTCGCGAATATTGTTTAGTTTGCAAGGGCTTATGGCCTCGGGGACACAAACATATATATATATATATATATATATACATGTATGTGTGTATGTATGTATGTATGTATGTATGTATGTATGTATGTATGTATGTATGTATGTATATATGTATGTACGTACGTAAGTATGTATGTATGTATGTATGTATGTATGTATGTATGTATGTAGGTATGTATATACACACATAAACATGTATAGCATAGTTTGCAAGGGTTTACCGCCTCGGGGGCGCGAATTGTAAGTATTTTCACGTGTCCCACAGCCCCGCAAGAATTCTGAGCACGCGATCCGGGCGTGGTAACCGGGTTCTTTTCGCACCTCCCCCCCCACCCTTTCGCGCGGACTTCAACAATCTACAGTAGGAAGTTGAACGTAGAACTATCACATTGGGAACTGGAACCTGCAACTGCCATAGGAAGCAGAAAGTCGAGCTATCACACTGGAAACTGAAAGCTGCAACTGGTGCAGTGACTAGGACACCTCCGCCACGCAGCCTGATGGCCCCGCAAGGGGGCCGGCGGGTACCATGCTGGCCACACGTGCGCACACATTTCGCTACAGGCGAGCCAGGACGCTTCGCCAGCAGTGGCGAAGCGTCCTGGCTCGCCTGTAGCCCCACCAAACAATGTTCTAAGAACCTTTTGTGGTCTGCACGAAATGTTTTTCGAACATTTCTGGCCGGGACTGTCTTGTTTTAACACATTGGGTTTATGTTCTAAGAACATTGTTTTTGTTCTTATAACATTTTTGCGTTTCAAGAACATTTCGTGGGACTATAGGAATGCCGGGACGGTCGGTCCCTGCTCAATGTTGAGTAGCTAACCGAACAGTGTGTGTTAGCATACCCGGCGGTGACGGCCGCGCCACGCGCCCCAGGGAACGACCCGTTCCCTTGAGAGGCCCCGGCCCGCTCCCCTTCACCAGCCTCGAACTTATCCCTATCCCTAAGATTGACACGCCAAAAGGCGATGACAATCTTAGGGATGCGCCCTGAAAAACTAAGGGAATCCCTCAGATTGGCATCGCGATGTGGCGATGCCCAGCGTAGGGATAGGGATATGGTCCAGGCTGGTAATCCCTCCTCCTCTCGGCCGTCGCTTCGTCGTCCTCCCTCCCCCTTTTTCCTGGTGGCACAATTCACTTAACGGCAGCCCCGTTTCGCTTCCCGGCCAGCGCAGTGACTCTGCCTAGCCGCCGACGCAAAAAAGTGTTAGCAGACCTGGTGATGCAATATACGTAGTGATAGCTACGTTGCTAGTGCAAGCTATGTGGTGGAAGCCATGTTGTGCAATATACGTGATGTAAGCTATGTGGCGTCAGCTAGGTGGTGCATGCTATGTGGTGCAATCTATGTGGTGCGAGCTATGTGGTGCAAGGTGTGTGGTGCAATCCTTGTGGTAGGAGCTAGCGTACTCATCTATGCGTTGTGAGCTAGATGGTGTAAGCTACGTGGTGCAGTCTATGTGGTCCGGTCTATCGGGTGTGAGCTCTATGGTGCAATTTGCGTGGTGCAATCCGTGTGGTGCGATCTTTGAGGTGTAAGCTATGTGGGGGCAATCTAAGTTGTGCAAGTATGTAGTGCACCTTGTGTGGTGCAAGCTATAGTGGTACAGCTCCTCTAACGCAGTGCAAGATATGTGGTTTGACCTATGTGACGTAGACTGTGTGGTGCTATGCTATGCAAAGCAATGCAGAGCAGTGCAGAGCAGTGCAGAGCAGTGACAACCAGTGCACAGCAACGTCGAGCAATGCCAAGCACAGCAACGCAACACAATGGAAGGCACGGCAAGGGAATGCAAAGTCATGGGCATCAGTGTAAAACAATGCAAAGCAACGCACAGACAGCAACTAGCACACATAATACGTGTTACAAAGTAGCGCACAGTAATGCAACGTGTTGCAAGGCAGCGCAATTCAACGCAATTCAATGCAACACAGTGTAATGCAGCGCCACGCACAGCAATGCTAATCAATGGACAGAGTGCAAACGCAACTGCAAACAATGCAAAGCGATGCAACGCAGAGTAAAGCAATGACACGCATTACAAAGCAACGCAGGCCAACGCAAAACACTGCATAACAGTGCAACGCAATGCAAACTAATTCAACGCAGTGCAATATATTTTGATTCCAAAACAGTGTGACTACAATCCACTGGTGCAGCACACTGCACACGAACGCAAAACAATGTACAGCAATGCACAACAATGCAAAGCAATGTAAATCAATGCGAGGAGGGCGGCGACCATGCGGCGGGCGGCGACGAGGCGTCGACGACGGCCACATGGCGGCCCGAGCGGCCCGCAGGCCCAGGCGACGGGCGCCGACGAGGCGGCCACATGGCGGCTGCATGGCGGCCCGAGCGGCCCGCAGGCCCAGGCGACGGGCGACGACGAGGCGGCCACATGGCGGCCGCATGGTGGCCCGAGCGGCCCGCAGGCCCAATTCCGCACCTTAGAAGACGAGTGAGAACACCAAAGTGCAAGTGCAAGCGCTGCGTCGGGAACCAAGCTACGGTAGGTTCGCGTCGTGTCGACCGGCGGCGACCCCAGCGCGGGCGTTCAAGGTTGAACGCCGCCGGCGACCCAGAATCGGTCGATGTTGACCGATCGGACGTTGCGGAGACGGCCGATCGTTCAAGGTTGAACGATCCCTGCGGTGTCAAAAACCAACGCTGGGGTCGGCACGACACGAACCTGCCGCATCAAGCATGCGTTGCTTGCTCGCTGTGGTGTGCCCAAGATGCTACGTTCCGGTGCGCGAGCTCGCTGAAGTCATCAGCAACTAGTCTGCTGTTTCGCCTCGCTGTCACATGGGACCGCGCGGGCCACACGCGCGCGCATGTCGAAATCTTCCAACTCTCGTCGCGCACCCGCCAGCACTGTCAACCCATGCCCTGGGCCCAGGAGCTGCGCATATGCCTCCCCGGCAAAGCCAGGAGGGCGTATGCACCGCTCCTGGCTGGGGCTTAGTTTACGCTGAAGCCCCAGTTTTCAGTCAGTCCTCATTCTTTAGATTTCGGCCAACCAAAAGGAACACACACACAAAAAAAAAACGCAGTCTTCGCCAGGCACAAATATGCGTTACAAAGTGGAACCGAAGCGAGACCGGCGCGAGCGAAAATCCCAACACGCAACGGGAGGCATACCCCCCAAGCGGGGGAACTCAAAAACGTAGACCTTGAAGACAAGAAAGCATGCCCTCAGCGTGTTGAGACGTCGTCTGCGTACAGGCGGGGCCTCGACGGGGGCGGTGCAAGTGTCTCGCCCCCGCCGCCCCCGCAGCGCGCCCTCCTCCGCGCCAGAGGTGCGGTTACCTGAACGCCATCGTGGTGGCGACGGGGGAGGGGGGGCCGGGCAGGGCGCCCGCCCGTCGGGAAGGGGGGGGGGGGGAATGGGGGGAAGGGCATATGGGTGGGGGCGGGGAGGGGGACTGGGGAGAGGCAGAGCGAGGAGCGGGAAGGGGGAAGGGGGAGGGGGGGGGAGGGGGGGGAGGGGGAGCGGGGCAAGCTGGGTGCGCTCGCGCCCTGTCTGACATCCGGTCCCTCTCTCCCTCAGGAGGGAAGGAAACACAGGCACAATTAACCGGCGATTTCCCAGAAAATATGGGGAAATATGGGAGGGAAGATGAGAACCCAGAAAATATGGAACAATATGG